GATCAACTTCGCAATTTCTAATTTTTTTCAATCTTTCTCGCAAATCATTCAGGGTTACGTCATTTGCTTGCAGTCAGAGATCAAGTTCTCGACACTTAGTGAGTAAACTTTCTCCCAAATAAGGTAAATCAATTTCTTCCGCACAACCTTGCAAAGCATTTTCTAACTTAGTTAACACTTCGTGCAAGATTTTTTGTTGGGGAGTCCTTGGTTCATAGATCTTTTCATAATGAACTTTATCTTTTTCTACGGTTAAATAATCGCCAACTACTAATTTAAACAAATCTTCTAATTCAATTTCGGCCGTAGAAATTTCTTTTCAATCTAGTCCGCCTCGAGCTTTTTCTCAGGCTTGATCATGGGATTTATCTACCACTTCCCAAACGTCTCAATCTTTATATTCTTGATAAGTTTCTTCTGCCAAAGCCAGAACTTCTCCGTCCTGGAGCGGAGGAATCTGAGCTAACCTAAACTCGATGTTCCCGTCCTTATTGGACATTACTCTGTGCACACTCTCCAACACTGCACCATACCGCCAAGCTTGGAATTTTTCTTCAAACAATAAAAGGCCGTTTTTTAATCCCTTTAAAAAAGTAAAGTAAAGAAGTTTTTGGATAAAAAGATGCGAAGTAATTCCCCGCTCGTAAAAATATTTAGCAATTGCTAAAGGCTCAATATTGAGAGGTTTTAGTTCGATATTTACACTTACGTTCATGAGGCAAAAAGTTTCTATAGTATTATTTTAATTTATATTGATTCCCACCAACAAAAGTTAGGGTAACTTTTTTCGACTTTTTTTGCTCAAAACACAACTTTGCGTTAAAAAAATTTAGCAAAATTTCAATCTTTTTTACCGAATTTTCCCACTCCATTTTCTGGATACGAATCTGAAAGGAAGTTTATTAGCATTTTTATCTAAATTTTTTGGTCACAAAATTGGGAGAATAAAAGGTTTATAATATAAAACAAGAACAAAAAAATATGATTTTAATTCCCCTTAAAAAACTAGTTAGTTGAATTGTTTATTCCGGTTTAAAACAAGAAGCTACCTTAGATAATCAATGAGTGGTATGACGCAAACAGGTCTTTTCTTCCGGTTAGACCTTAAAGAAACCACGAGCTTTTTCGCTCTCTAACGAGCGGAGAGTGAGTGAAAACTAACGAAATGCTCAACTCTTAAATCCTCGCTCTTATTTATTTTATTAATTCGTATAACTATGTCCGCCACGCCTATTAAATTCTCTGGTAGTTTCTTAAATACCGAATTATTAAGGGAATTCGTGTGTTCTTCTTGTCAATAGACTTTAACGGAGCAAGATATTAGCGAGCGGAATTACTTTCTTTACGTGAGTAGTCAGCAAAACCAAATCGTCAAAGAGGAACACGGATCCCAAACCTTTTATGGCTTGAAATTTTGACTGCGAACCGTGCAACACAAACGTTGTCAACTTCGCAAACCGCAACCGAGTTTCGACCTCCAAGTAACGCTTAGTCATTGGTAAACCAGTGAAAAAAGCACCATTTAAGAATATGAAAACTAACACTATCAAAAAAGAAGAGCCCGGCTTAACCTGAGAACAATTAAAGCGGGCCCTAGCCAAGCATAATTTTGTAGTACCTATCAAGCACGAGGCTAATTTGTTAAACTGAGCTTGCTTCTGACACCAAGGACCTGAGCATTTAGCCGAATTAGCCCTTGAGATTGTTGCTAGGGAAAAATGCTTAGGATGCCAAATGCCCGAGTATGTTATTTATCACGAAATTCAAGCTGGTAACATGAAAAGTCACTTAATATGCAGTGGTTGCCAAAAAAAGTGTGATGGAGGAATATATAAACGAGACAATGATTATTATTCTTTCCAGAGTCCCAAGTGCGGGGCTTATGTTTTTTGGCTACGGAATGGAGAAAGTACCGAAGAATGATACTGTGCGAGTTGCAAATTCGAATTATTATGCGGCCATTGCGGAGGGCGGCATCATGGCGAGGTCTGAACTGATTATAAGCAGGAAGGCGAAGAATTTCTACTTTGCGTTGACTGTGGTATATCCCAAGTCGAAGAAGAACACCGGGATAATCATTGACGCGATCCAGATTTAGATTGCGGTCTTTGCCAACAATGAGCCGAAAAGTGAGAGGAACTAATGGCCGCCCGCGAGAAAAACTAGTTGGGAGGCTCGGAGGAAATCCTCTTTTCCCTTTAACAAGTTGTCAATTGGTCACTCCAAGCAAACAACACCATTTTATTTAACTATTTATGAAAACTAACGAAAATCAACCAAAAATTACCGAAAAAGAAAAAGCAGAGAATGCTTTCACTATTTATGGGAAAACTCTCGAAGAATTGGAATTTATGCTTTTTCAAGAAAGAGAACACTGGAGTAAGTATAAAATTTGAAAGACTAATCCGCATAATGTCGAAAACATTAAAGCTGCCATTAAGCATTTGAAAAAAACGGGCGAAGAAAAAACCACCAAGAATTATTACAGTTTCAAGTAAAGAAT